ATACGTCTGATGCGTACGTCACCCTCAAGATCCATGAGCACAATGGCTTTGAATTTTTGCTTGCTCGTCGTCCTTCATTGCTGCCATGTTTCAAGCCGCATTTGCGCTTTCACGATTGTGGGTCTGCTGCATGCTGATCACGGATGCGCCCCAGCGACACAGCCTATCACGGTGATTGCGTGAGGGAGCGCATACAGTAGCAGGACAGAAGACCGAGTGCGGTGTACTCCGAGAGATCAGGAGTGTTGATGAGCGTCGCGAGCCTGATGAGGAATTCATTGTGATCCTTGATTTGTGATTACAGATTCATCAAGATTTCGATTGTGTGCCGGCTTCGCTTTCGACCGTCTGCTGATTCAATGATTGTTGGTTTCTCACGTGATCGATTGAGGCACGCCCAACGCGCACCGGCGACGCGCGCCTTTGGTCGAGAAGAAGCATGCAGGGCATGCACTTAAGCAACCGAGCTCGACTCACACACACACCGACTCTTGACTCCATGACCCAACCTGTTGCCTCCGGACCAACGACCATGGCACGTCAGTCCTGACCAAGCAAGCTCCTCATGTATATTTCTCGTCGCAACACTGTCAGGCACCAAATTGACCCCGACCTCGAAGCGTGGGCAAGCACGATCGACCCCAACGCCTACTCAAAGCCCGTCCAACTGCTCGACCAGTTCGATCAGGCATACTCAACGTTTCTCCAGGTCAGAGTATCTATCGCCTGCCTACAATATTCGCAATGTCCAACTTTGCTTCGACCTCTTCTCGATTTCAGCTGCCTCCGAAACAAATGGAGATGGTGGAACCGCTGGCTTGGAAACCTGAGCCGCTGAGGGATACTCTACTGCGTGGAATGTTTGAGGGTGATTGGGCCGATGAAGACACTGTCAATGTAAGTTCGGCTAGCAGAGAGTGGCTGTACTGACGTGCGCACTGGAATCAACGTGACCGCGCGCAATGCTGACACGCTCGAACCGCGGTGTCTTTCTCGGCCTACTCGTGATCACTCCTCGACAGTTTCTCGTCTCTTCTTACACCGTCTTTTGCAATCTCAAGCAAATCATCCAGCCTCAGTCTAGCGCGCGCGACGAAGCCTTCTCCAGCGGACCCTACTTTCTGGAAGCGGCCTCCAACTCACGCCAAACAGTCTCGATTACAGCCGAGACCATCTCTCGCCTGTCTAGAGTATCCACCAATCTTTACTCCCGCGATCTGACCACATTTCAGAGGCGGTTGGGAAGCAGGCTAGAAGATTTATCGGAGTTGACTTCTTCCAACACCACTTCGAACGAGACGAGAAAGGAATTAAAGGCGGAGCTGGAAGGCCTGAAGCGAAGAGCTAGCTGCTGCGCGGAAGCGAGACAGATCCTCTTGCTGGCTACGACGATGTATCTGCCAC